TTTTAGGAATATACTTGCAAATATGGTCGACTATTAAATAATCCGCTATCATCGGTAACCATTCGCATTTTTCCCATTTAAACATTTCTCTCTCGATTCCCTTCACATTTCTTTTTAAACCATTCTCTTTTGACTTGCTCTCTCGATTCGATTTACGTTTTCTAAATTTCCCCTGAGCTAACTTAATTCTAGATTAATCATTTCTTCCCCGACTCTCTTGATTCCATTCATACTTTTTATTTAAACTTTTCTCATTTGGCTTACTCTCTCGATTCGTTTTACGTTTTCCAAATTTTTGCCCTGATCATATATAACTCAACCTTAATCATTTGACGTTTTTTTGACGTCATTCAGCTTTAATGGTGTCGCTGACACGATGACTTGATAGTCTTTCGCGGCTCCTCGTTAATTGCAGTCGAAACATTATGTGTCTGTTGTTTTCTTTTGCCTTGATTTACTATGCTTGTGTTGTTCATAATGTTTCTTGCACGACGAAAATAAATTATCTGAATCTGAATCTGAATCATTGTTCGCTTTTTATTGTTTCCCAAATGAGCTATCTAATACCGGAGAGAAACAAATGTGAAAAATGAAACGATAAAAACAGTGAAAATCCATTTTGAGTGAAAAGTATAACTCGCGGATATCAGTGACGTTACAATCGTTACTAATACTCGTGGTAATTTATTGTTATTGGGTCGAGTCGACTTTTTTATTGTTATTCAATGAGTATTTATGTACGCCGTGATTAGTGGCTGGCAAAATCCGATTTTTTTGTAATCGAATAATGCGAACATTTCTTTTTATTTAGCAGAAAATGACTAGAATACTGAAAACACGTTAACAATGCGGCATTGTAATTTTATCACAATTGCGGATTGTTTTTTGTCACTGCAATCGTTTTGGCGACCGACTTTCTAATAATAGTTTAACAATATTTTAAAGTACTTTTTTTTACAAGTCTTGATTCTCACGCAACGGCGGACATCGAAGTTCAGTTTTTACATTTGTGGAAGAACTGTGAGTTCACATAGGCGAAAATGTAAAGACAGCTAAATAATAAATATAAATTTGGCATCAAAATATTTTCCAAACGGGGGGCTAGGACCCCCGTAATCACCAATGATAATATTATTAATTCTAATTCCCATGTCCTTGTCCAATTGATGAGGATTTTAGAATGTATTTGGAATTCCAGATTCACCCAGCCACCGGCGCAGCCAGAAAAGAGGAGGGGGGGTTCCAAATTGGAAATTTGTGACATTTAAATGACTTGCCATTTATTGATATTAATTTAATTGTGTTCACTGTGAGTCGACTCTTTCTTAACTTTGTTTAAATGATCTGCTGGTAAAGACTGATAGTATTTTTTATAATAATCTAACAAATATGGGGAGGAATATTATTTTTCCCAAAATACATTTTTTGTGATTGAATGATATTCTTGGACCTTTTCTGAACCAGAACTGTCTATCAGGTAAACATAATCTCCAATAGTTCTTTCGGAACAAAGAAATCAGAAAAAGCAGTATTTGGTCATGTATTGGCGACACTTCAACAACTAACACTTTGATAATGCTACTTGTCGTGTCCCACAGAAAATAATGAAAATGAACATTGGGGGCTGGTGCTTTAGCGTTATTGCACATTCCACACTTTTTTGATATTATAATTCAATTTGGTCACCCTGCTTACATATCAGAACTAGAAAATATCAAAACCAGTTACTACAAATTTAATAACTGCTGATTTGTTGATTAAAGGTAGTGCCAATAGGGTTGGATTATTGTGCAGGATTACTGTGAGGATTGTGAATCCTTGATAGGGATGCTTTTGAATTACCATCATCATAAAATCTATGTGATGAAAATTTTACCAACATCGAATATTTTACATAATGTGATACAGTAGGTAGATACCAAACTTTAACTCAATTTTAGATGTTAAAATTATAAATAGAAAGTTTCTGTTTGCAAATATATATTCACTTACATTTATAGAACAGCAACATATATTGAGCTATTATTGAGACAAACAGGTTCTTCAAGTTTTAATATTCTTATTCTCATCACAAATAGAGATTAGTTTAATTCCCTGATGCCAAATTACAGGTCATTTAGGAATAACATTCATAAATAACCTGTTTAGCTATCAGGTATGATGAATATTTACCTTTGCATCTAACTTACCTCTGGTAGATATTTGCATAATAAAAATTACGGCTTGGTCATAGCAATATATCTGTGTTAACGTGAGCCTATGAGAAAGCTTTGATTGCAGTAACCACTAAAGCCTGAAATTACTTCAACTTATCCTGTAGATCAGGAACTGGAGGTTGCAACCCCACAGGAGGGTGCTCATTAGATTTTAGAGGTCACAAAGAGTAAGCCAATTTCTCACAAAGTACTATATATATTTGGCACTTCTGCAAACTTTTGTTTGGAAACAACAATTATTAAATCTTCATGGGTTGCGAACCATTTTGAATATGTGGAAGGGTTGGATAATTGCCATCATTTGATAACCTGGAAAAATTGTCAAAATAAGATGCATTTTTTTCTAATATTGTGACATGTATTTTCAGATGTTTTATAATTAACCTATATCTGAGTTGTGTTCTAGCATTGAACACTGAATAATTTATTTTATGTATTGAATAGAAATTTAAAATAGGTTACTTACTAAGTCTATTTCATATATAAGAATAGCTTGGCGATTGAAGATTCGAGTATTGGGTCTGTAGAAGAAGCCATGACTTGTGAATTTTACATATTTATCTTGAGGGAGAGGACAGGTGGCTTTAATCGTATATTAACCATGGCTTTTTCATCCGTTTCACCAGTTCGTGTCGGGTAAGGAATGGTTAGTTAGGTATTTTTCCAGATGCATGGACTACTCTACAGCGACGAGTAGTACACCATTCCAGTGGCGAGCATATTTGTAACGTAGTATGACATCTTGCGGAAATGATAATTTCATATATGGCACAACAAGTTGCAGGGAATGCGGAAAGTGTTATCTCCTTGTGAAACCCTGTAACTAAATTTATAGTTGAACTTGTCAGCTTTAAACTGTCATGTGTAGTCTGGCATTGATATTTGTTAACATGGGTTGGAAGGCATGCTATGGTATTTTAATTTGTTTTTCCAGGCTTGAGATTTTTTGTTTTTGTTTTCATTGTTTCTGTAAATATACCTTTCTCTGACTTCAAAATTTGTTTTTTATGTTCAACAGATATTAAATATTATATATAAATATTCTTGAAAAATAGTACTCGGCAGCATACTACGTTTCGACTTTTATCTGAAAAAATGGCAGATCAAAATCAACACAAGAGGGAGCTAATGTGAACATTCTAGGTATGTATTTGTAATTATTAAATCCAAAAATTTCAGAACAAGCTTGTCATTTAGAACAAAAAGTTATGTTTATATCTTTCTGATGTTTGATCTCTAGTTGTAGTATTGCTCTCTAATTTTGTTCAGTTCAACAGCCTCAACCTCTGTTAGAAATTATTGGATATTATCATGCGATTGACGCTTATGATAGTTGAATCATAAACCTATTTTTGTTATATCAGAAGAAATGCATATCATGGTTTTTTGAATATACTTTGTTTCAGGTGCAAACATCGATGAACTGCATGCAGGACATGTAAATCAGATTGTTGCTCAGGCAGACGTAGTTCAAGCTCAAGCAGAAGTGATTCATGTAGACAACGTGAACCTTCACATGCATTTTGGAGATAATGGTAATTATTTTTAATATGAATGAATAGGGTTTTGTGTAAACCGAATGTTTATACATAGTTGAGACATACGTACATAGTTAATTCAAAATTGAAGTGAAAATATATATTTTTTTTCTCACCCTGAAGAGTTGAATTGGTGTTTTGTTTCCAAAGCATCGGAGAAAAAATGCGCTGATCCGCCGCTCTGCCCACGTCTAGTTTTTTCACAATTTGTCAACATTATCTTGTAAACAATTTCGGAAATTTAAATTTAGAAATTGCTACTACTCGCTCAAGTAAAATACTTTTTCGGAACAAGCCATTTTCATTTCGGTAATCCATAAACTGGTGCAGCTTTAGAAAATTTATTGAACATGATTAATATTAGCCTCAGTATATCGTCTCATGAATAGGATACCAATGAGACGTGCAGTGCTAAAATGAACTGGCAGTTTTGTTATCCCAGTCACTGTAGTACGCTGTCGTTATAGGTGCAATTTTGGTGGATTGGTAACGGTTTACTGAAATGCTGGTCACCTCATGAATCAGCGGAGATCTTGGGCGGCTATCGGCTTGTATTTCTATGGTTGTGTATGTAGCTATAAAAATATTATGCTTGAGATATCTTTCAATAGGTTTCGTAAACTAGTGCCTTCATTAACTATCGACGTGACCTTCTGTGTGCGCGAGTGTTATTGGTAGATTTATCGTCACCAGTCGACAAGTGTTTATGAAATATGAACTAGGTATTATGATGCTATTGGAACTTCAGTTGGAAGACCTTAGAAAAAGCTACTTCCAATCACGCTTGACTGATTAGTTGTTTGTGAAATGGTGGGTTAGAAAGACAAATTTAGCAAATAAAGTTCATTAAGGTGAATTGAAATTTTTTTTATTACGCTTTCCTCAAACCTTAATGGGACAGCCCGAAATGCTAAATGAATTAACGGCGGTCTTTGGCAGTTGCTTTGTACAGACATGCACCATATGTTTTGTTTGCCTATAGCATAAAAAAGGGGACAGCCACAAAGAGTGCTTTGTGTCAATTAATTGAAAGTTTTTGTTAAAAATATTCTTCTCCACAACCATGGTCCAGAAAATAGGTTACATCTGGATATGAAAAATGTGTTATCGGACAATATATTTAGCACTGACATGCTTAATTAATTAATAGTAATTTTAGGGAAAGTCTGGATGGTAGTTTTGGGTTGAAAAATTGACTTTTATCACACAACATAATCCCGGTATGTTCTAACTTTATACTTAATTTCAGCAGCACCACAAGCTGGAACTACAACATGATGCGCCTGCACCACAACATCAAGTGCAGGATGATGCACCATCGGCCAAACCAAAAATGAAAAAAAAAGGGAATTTCCTCTTCTTCAGGTATGAACCAAGAATAATATCGAGTATTTTTCCATACAGAAGCAATATTGAACTAATTATCCCATCTTAGGTGAAGTGGGAAACCAAATATTATTCAACCTGTGGCAACTGACATAGTTTCAATGCTCTAATTCAGAGGTTCTTAACTGGGGGTAAATGACTTGCTGTTGGGAGACATTTTGTATGCAATAAATTTACACTTTTGTTTACTAAGTAAACAAAACTTTACTAATAATGTGGCATCTGAGCATGTAGAGCAAGTGTGGGCAATTACTTTGTTGAGTTGGGCCAGTTTCCAGATAACAGACTTGCTTATTGGGCAGGAGGCTCGATATGAAAATATAAATAAAAACAGTTTATTTGCAAAAAAAGTAGCGTAACAGCTAATGTACAACAAACATCTATTGTATCAAATGACACAATGATAAATCGGACTAATTGTAGGCTACTGCAGGCATCCAGAGGTTTGTTCAAATCAGGCTTGAAGCTGCTTGTGGTGATTTTTTAGACCACTCATAGTTTGAATACGTTAGAGGAGATTGGTTTTTGCCTTAGTTAGTCTTCATACTTCGGAATAATAATTCAAGTTGCATTTGAGGTTATGTGGGGACGGACTGAAAGTAGCACTTGAAAATTAGTTACTTTTTTAGGCATTTTAGAAAAAATGGAAAATGGACATAAGAACTTGAGATGATGAATTAGTTGAAAATGTAAAATTAAATGTTGATGTCAAGTCCAGTTGGATAATTTCTTTTGACATCCATATTTACGAAGCGGTATTAGCCCCCTTAAGCAAGATTAGAAATTAAATTAATCTAAATACGTTTGTAAAATTTGTCATTTAGTTATGTTAGCGAGAACCATGGGCAAATCTCCACGGAATTTGAAAATGTCGTTTAGTGGACGCCGGACACCATTTTCAAGCAAAAGCAGCACAGGTCCCGCGATATCAGATACCTGAATAGTGAAGTGGCATTCTAAATATTTAGTATAATGATAAAATCAAAGGTTATCAGATGTAACAATGTATGAACACGCCACCGTTTTTTTTTTTTTTGGTTGTTGATCCTGGCTGGCCCCTAAATAAAAAAAAAATTATGGAAAGTGTCTGCCCATGAGTCTGGGATCTAGGGGGAAATTACAAATTTTCCAGAACTTCATTTTATCCTCTGATCTGGAGTTCCAGCTTCAATACCATTGAATTTTGTATGTCATGAAATCTTTGCGAAAGTGAAACTCAAATTATAATATAAGCGAGGTATATAGTTATAGTAAGCCTTGTTTCCTCATTTCAACCCTCTAGCAATAGGAGTTATCACATACATGCATTAAACAGAGCGAATATCACTCCCAATCCTATGATGTTTCTCTGTGCATGTTCGTATTCATAAAAACTGTTTAAAGATTTTATTCTGAAAAATGAAAAGAAGTCATTGAATTCTAATTTTAAAGTATGTATCGTCAGTACTGTTTAATCATCCCACCCATCATACTGAATAGGTGTAGTAGGATGAAAAATAGTTTTTTATTTTTTTTCAATTTTTTTTTCAATTTTTTTTTTACAAATTTTATTTTTTCAATATTTTTTGCTTTTGAGATTTTTTTTCATTTTAAGCGTGACAACGATAGGCAACCCTAGAATACCAAATATGGAAATTTTTCTCTCTATCCTTATACAACATTCATCATATTCAAATTCAGGTTTGTCATCGCATATGCAAAGCAGAGAGCAACGCAACGTAAATATAAAAATAAGCAATGAAGATGTGCTTGTGGCAGGTGAATGTATTTATAGTTTGTTCTCATATAGTGCTATTGGTTTCCAGTTAATCGAAATTCGAAATGCTACATTTAGTCAACATGGAGGCAACACTGAAGCTTTTATAAAATGTGTCAGATCCGCCTTGCAGTATCACATACTATGACTTTTTTATTACAAAATGAAATCGTTGGAAAGTTGACATGGTTGTTTTTCATACAGAGCTGTTACCTCCACCTATCTGGACTCTGATATGTTTTTCATACCCTCTAAAGTTGATAGTTCTCTCTAAACAGCTGCATTGTCTGTATCACGAGATTTGACATAATGCTGCTTTTTTCACTGTCAATAAATTTCATTTTTTAAGTTCATCCCTATTCATTATTCTTCATTCCAGGTTCTGCAACATATTTGCAAGCAGAGCAAGATGCCAATGTTGATATTGCTTCATCGAACATTTACATGACTGCAGGTAAGCACTCGGTAATTAGATTGTTTGTAAGTTCTTGAACAGATTAGTCCAGTGGTTCCCAACCTTTTTTGAGTGATCCATACTTTAAATCACGTTGCAAGAATATGCTCTAATACTAAACGTGTGTAGTTGCGTGATTGTACATCAAATGTAAGTTGACAAGTTTTAACACTTTGCTAATTCCCACATTTCAATTATTATTGATAACACTTCAATACAAAATAAACAATTAAATTTCCTAGAAAATAAACTGAATAACTTCTAATTCTTTGTTTAAAACAAAGCGACCCAAGAGCATTTTCAGGCGACTCCGCTGAGGATCGCGACCCCTAGGTTGGGAAGCACTGAATAAATAGTCTTCTTATTCGTTTCAAATCACAGTATTTTCCACGTCTAATACGCACTTTCAAGGTCACATGTTGTCTTCTTAATACGAGGGTGCATATTATGCACTGACAAAATGTAAAAAAAATATTAGTTGATATTTTATTTTCAACTGGTTAATAATTCTCATATATATTAGTCATGACTTATGAGTCTTTTAATTTTATTCAGCAAAGTCTGTTTGGATCAGAACATGCTTGTTTCGGGAGAAGCATAATAGTCAAATAAATTTATTGTTAATAAAAGTAGCAAGAGTTCTAAACAATTCATTAACTCAAGCATAATCTATGTATCATGTATTGGTGGTATATTATACTTGAGGCCTCTCTATATAAATTTTTTAGGTGAAGCAACGATAACTAAAGGGCAAGGAGCAACCACACATTTTCATGGCCCTGTCAGCATCCAAATAGAACATACAGGTAATTATTTTTTTGGGGATTTGGCCAAGGTAAATGTCACAATGCTATTGCTTGCTAAATTTGATATAAAATCAAGCATGGGGGTGTGGCGCATTGTACTAAGCGTTAGGAACACGCTCACCACCGCACCTCTGGTTAATCTGCGTGGGTTCGTAAGTGGATTACTGGACTTCCGTCGACGTAGGCTGGTTCACATAACTGCTGGTCGGTTATGGCTTCAAATTCACCACCATCAAATTCATGTATCTGACTGAAACAAATAACTGGCTAACTAATTCCATACCTGACATGAACTGGTAACCAGTCGAGAGGTCATGGTTGATTGAGCGGCCAAACATGTTATTCCTATTCTAGAGTGTAGGCTAGGGTGGTCCAAGGTTTTCGGCTACTGGGGTCACAAAATTATTTTTCCATTGCTCACGGGCCACAATAATGCCAAGAATAGATAAACAGTGCAATACAAAACAAACACTTTTATTGTGCAAACCTATTGATCAGTATCAGGTTTTTATCAAGCAAACCAATGCATAAACCATCCAAAAACTTAATAAAACTTGCAAAAGTCTTTTCGATATCTACATATAGTGTAAGATTTCAGATTCTTCATAACGGAAAAAGTACTTCCGCAAATGTAAGTGCTTTCGAACATCGATAAGAATACAATCACTATTCTAATACAGTTTTTCTAGTTATGCACATAATGCCTTTTTATATTTCACACTATACCATATTTCAACTTTCGTATAATATTTTTTTATTTCTCTCCAGATGCAGCCCCTTCACAGCCTTCCACGTCATCAGTCCCAACTGGAACGCCTGTTCAAACCATTGTCAGATACAGGCACAGCCATTGCTCCTGTGTATAAAGGCATTTCACCAGCAAAAGGTATGTTTTTGCGAATTAAAATTATCAACCTTGCTAGGTCCAACAAACTTCTTACTAATCACTAACTAATTGTGTCTACAGATCCAAGATGAACTTACAAGTGTAACATATGACTTGTAAAATATTGACGAGTCACGTTTTCTTGATTTATTCATTGTTTAAACACCATTATTTTGCATAACAAGAGTTAATTATCTGAATCACAGCTCTTCCATGTAACCGCCTCATCGATCTTAGGAAAGTTGAAATTTTATGGTTAATTAAGACGAACAACATTCATTTATTCATGCATCTTTATATGGCTTGGATCTGGAAAAGTCAATACCAAACAAATTTTCATGGTTTGCCTTCAACTATTGGTAAATCTATCATTAACATTTGACATACTGCTTTTTTTCAGGCTTCTTCCAGCAAGTTACCGAGAAACTTTTTGGAGGTGAACACCTTTAATTTAATGAAAAAATTATTAATAAACAAAAAAATGGCGACCCAGAAGTAAGTCTACCAATATAGGCGATAACTAATTTTGTTTGCCTTAATTTACATCAAGTTGGTGTAAATGGACCTGAAACCTATTGGCTGACCCCTAACCGGGTACACATACTTCGAGAGTAGCTTACCCAGAAAAATAGTGTTTCTTATGAACATGTCAAGTAACTTACACTGGTATACTCCACGTCATGGATCTGACACAAATAACGTGTCAATTATTCTCATTCCTGACATGGACTGGAAACCGGAACGCGGGCTAATTTTCGTAATTTGACGAAGCTTTAAAACTTTTGTATTTTGATGGATGTTTCCCCGACCCTTAACCATAGAAAACTCTTCTTATACTTTTACATTAAAAAAACTCTGACGCTTGTTTTGAGTGTTTTTGCCAGTTGACGATTGCAAAATTGGTTTACGTGTTTCATAACCATAATCTGGATAATTAGCCTTTTTCTAAATAAAGAGCACTGGCTCTTTTTCAAGTATATCACAGCTATTTTGGACTAATTTTAATTACTGTGACTAAACTAAAACTACTCGCTGTAGGGTGGTTCACGTGATCACGGGTTGGTTGTGGCTTCCTCCACCATAAAGTCCATGCATCCATAAACAATTACCCGGCTATCTGAATTCATACCCGATACTGACTGATAACCGAACGGGAGGCTGTGGTTCGCCATATGGATAAGCTGTCTTATTGATTTTCCGTTCTTCCCTCCAGCATAAATGTGTAAAACCTATTCTATATGTAAATACTATCCTTTTAAAGTCTCCTTTCAATCAAAATCTTAATAGAAATCTTCTGTTCAGGTGTGAGAAGCTTCATTGATTATTTCAATTGGAGAACATGGAAGCAAACAACAGTCAATGTTACAGAAGGCTACAAAGATCAAAACTTGGAAGAACCTGAATTTGAGGTCAATCCCAAGTTAAACAAAGTGACTGGTTTTTACAGAGGCCAGATGGCACCTGATGTCACAGAGTACAGAAAGGAACAAGAGTTCGCTGTCACACAGGCGAACGAAAACATTGGAGAAGTGATCTCACCAAATGAACTAGTCCAACAGCTGTGTGAGGAAGGTTGCCGATGCGTAGGACTAGTGGGTCAAGCTGGAGGGGGCAAGACGACAATGATGAAGCGTACTGCACGAGGCGTTCTCGTCGCTAATGAACTGGATAACGAATCTAAAGCAAAACTGGGATTGTTTGCTCGGTTGTTCAGGAAACAGAAAAATGGATTCAAATTTGTTCATCACTTGAATTTCAGAGACCTTCTTGTTTCTTATGGTTTAACACCAGAAGAAGCTTTAACTCCATGTACTCTGCTTTTCGGAAACTTTGCACCCAATCTATCAGATCAAACTGTAAGAGCGGGATATGAATGGCTTCAGCAACACCAATCAGAAGCAATTTTATTTATTGATGGCCTGGATCAGGCTATATGGAATCTAGAGGGAAATTACAATAAGATGACATATACTGATAGATCTAGTACAGCCACAATCATGTTTAATATCTTATCAGGCAACTTGTTCCCGATGTAACATTAGTTATTTCTTCACGCGAACACAGGATGGCATCCCTTCCCCTGGAGCTACGACCCCCATTAATTATTGCTCTTGCTGGCCTTGAACGTGATGACACCAAAAAACTATTTACTGCTGTTGTAGGTGAAACAGGGGAAGAATCCTGGAATAAGATGACGTTTCAGTCACCTGCACTCGTGCCATTGTCTTCTGTCCCTTTATTCTTGATTTTCAATGCAATCGTTCATAAATCCAACCCAGAGAATCTGCCTAATACAATGACTGATGTAATGACAAAAGTACTTCATATTTTCATGCGTTCCTCACACACTCAGGAGAAAAAATCGATTGAAATAATTCTTCACAATTTGATGAAAATGTCATTTGAAGCCACTCGAGAAAAGCGAGTTATTTTCAACAATACCGATCTAAAAAACGCAGGACTTACAAAAGAAATGGTACGTGATCTCATCATAGAAGTACCTGGAGGCAGCTCACTACTTAATCAACATCTTTTGGAAGGTGACACTCTGATGTTCTTTAGTCATCAAATCCTTCAAGAAATGTTAGCTGCTCTGTACATCGCCAACATGGATCTCGCAACTTTCCAAGCATTCGTCACTAACGAGATTCACAAAGATCACTGGTCCGTTGTTCTACGGCTCCTGTGTGGAACTGTTTTCGATCAAAAAATTAAAGCTCAATTCATCAAAGATCTTACAACTGGTAAGTGCAATCAGGACGTTACAATTATTGACTAAATCAAATATTATCATATTGCGCCAAGAGCTAGGAATAATTTTGCCATAGCTACTCTAATTACCCTACCGCATTCAAGATGGCTAAGTGGTTAATGCAACATCCACCACATGTTTATAGAAAGTAACCATTTAATATAACCGTTGTATTGGTAACAGAACGGGGTGCCGGGGTTTGTGACATGAATGAGTCATTTTATAGGTGTTATTTCTCCAATGAGAAATGTGTAAACCCTGATTCTAAATATTTTAAATTTTTTTTTTTCAGAGACTGGACTAGAAAAGCAAAATTGTCTTAAACATGCACTCACAACTAAGATAAATCAATGTACGAAATCCTATCAGAAGTTGGAGTTGTTTGGTGCGTTATATGAAGCCAATGATGCCGAGCTCATTAGATCCCATGTTCAAGAAATCAACTTCGAAAACGAGTCTTTCACTGCAGCAGGAATGTGTGCAATGTCATGTGTCATGCGACGATGTGGCCATCTTGAACAAGTTCGCCTCGTCAAATGTGAGCTCAATGCAGAATTATTGAAAAACTTCGAGTTCAACTTGAAAGGCTCTATAGTGAAGGCAAGTGTTTAGTAAAAAACCTAATCTACATATTATTGACGAAAATAATACAAAGAATACACTTAATTTCACATCATGAGATAAAAAATGTATCTCCCATCTGTCAAACTACTGTATATTTAGTCGATTACCTTAAAATGTTAGAATTATCACAGTTATACGAACATATCTTAACTTTATTTTATACTTCTGATATTAATTTGTATTGCATCCTAACAGGTGTCAGAATTTGATATCAGCTTAAATCCGATGTCCGTTGAAGCTTTTGATATCTTTGGTTCAGTTTTAACAAACATTGAAGTGGAAAAACTCGTTATGCGTGGCTGCTCACTTACAGAAGAAAAGTTTCGTGTGCTTGGAAGACATTCCCATTTACAGGTCGAAATATAAATTTTAAGATGGTTCATTATTCCAATTCCTTAATCCTTGGTTTTTATTTTGTTAGTAAGTTTGCTCTGTTTTTTTTATTTAAATTTGTTAAATTATACAAACTCCATTAACATTTTAATATTCGCTAGAAAAGATCTTCCAAATTATATTTAATTGGTCTAGTTACTATGAGGAATTAGATTTTTATCAACCTAACAGAGGTATTATATATTTCAGATCCACATTCTGGATGTTCGAAATATCACCAACATGACGTTTGACTTGTATCTTGCGATTGTCAAGTTTGCATCTGAACATGATGTCAAAGAACTTTTGATGGATCCGTGGGATTGCTTCAACGCAAGCAACAAGCAGCTGTTGGAACTGAGTAAATGGGAAGTTTGTGGAAAGGTAAACTAAATCTGAAACATTTGAAATGCCCCACATCCATTTAACTCACTAATCAATCCTAGTGTTGTTTCTCGCCCAACTATGACTTACAGGAAAGAGAACTCAACTCGTCTTGCAAACTTTGACTGTATACTTTTAAAAAGCCAGGCCAGTGTTGAAACATTATGGCCTGCATGTAGTACTAATATATTGTTGGCAATTATTGTTTCTTTCTCATTATTTTTCTCATAAAACGCTATTTCATGGAATCATGAATCAGTGTATCTACGAAGAGAATATCTTAGATAAATCTCAAGTCAGGTTTCACCAGTATAGTTATGCAGCTTTGGGGTTTTGTATTTTTATTCACCTAACAAACAATTTTATTTATCTCAGATCCAAGTTCTGGATGTTCGAAATATCACAAACATGACGTTTGATCTGTATCTTGCAATTGCCAAGATTGCATCTAAACATGATGTCAAAGAACTTTTGATAGATCCGTGGGATTACTTCAAGGCAAGCAAAGAGCAACTGTTGGAACTGAGTAAATGGAAAGTTTGTGGAAAGGTAAACTAAGTTTAACTAAAGAAACGATAGCAAAACAAGTTAGCTAATTTTTTTGCAAAATACACGATATATATTACAAAAACATGTTTCTCACAAAATTGGTTTAAAGTGGGTGTGACAATAAATTTAAATAGCAGTTTCTTCAGAAGTTTACGCGTTTTAACTCACTATTTCTGCAAGAATCAATAATAATACCGTAAGATCACTAGCAAATATAAGCAATTTTTGTGGCTTGCAACTACTAAATAGTCTGAATTAAATAAATGTGCGGCCCATAGCTTCACCCAGTTACTTGTATTTGGCCCGTCAATGAAAAAGGTTGCACACCTCTGGCCTAATCCATTACGGAAATTGATATCCAGAGAAGGTCAACCCCAAACCATCGTCTATTCCGAAGACATTTTCAAATAATATTTCGAATATGGAATATATTTTTAGTTTATATTTTCCAGTATTTTAGAATGTTTATTTGATATTTTAGTAATCAGAAGTTAAAAAAACCTAGACTGGCATAAGTGAACAGCAGATACTTTCCATATACATCTGGCATAGATCAGGCAGAATAATAAATTGATAAATGATAAATTCGCAAAAAGAATATTCAACTTATTTATGAATTGAAGGACTACCGTAATTTAAAATATTTATTCTTGTTGGATAGCCTAAATGTCAGCAAAAACAAGGATCTTGCCAAGGTATCAAACAGGTTAACTTACGTGCATGGTCATGCATTGGACTTTAACATTTCTTACTTTGCTTGTTGAAGCTAGTCTCATTAGGGCAGTGGTTCTCAAACGGTAGGGCACAATGGCTAAGACAATTTTTTAGTGAAGCCAATTAAAAAAAAAAATTTGTTAGATTTATTCTTGCCCGACTTGTTTTGGATATTTACATTTGTTTATTTTAGATATTTACATTCCATCCATGTATTTTCTACGTATTTTTTGAACAAAAAATATTTTCGCCTAAGGGTCTGTTATTTGTAGCTTATTGTTAGCTAGTTACTTTTGAGGTGTTGAAATGTTTTTAAAAGGATTATATGGATGGCATATAATTGAGTCTTATCATTTATTTTTCACTGTTTTACGACATTTTGATGCGTGATGTTGATATATATCAGAAAATCAACTTGTGTTAGTGGTTCTAAATTCACTCTTCTGTGTTGGTAGGCACCAGCCTTTAAACATTCAAATGCCAAAATACCAGCCTTTATTGCACTGATGTTCATTATCTTTCTGTTTTTAGATATCCGTTATTGATATCAGTCAAAATTCAATGGACAAAGAAGCTTTTGATGTTCTTGGTGACCTTTTATCAAACTATGAAGTTGACCAACTCATTGCAAAAAATTGTCAGCTAACAAAAGCAAAACTTGATGCTCTCGGAAGTCATTCTGGATTAAAAGTATGACAAACCTAAACAGCTGGTTTTATGATGTTTGATATTGGTAGATTCGGATAGTAAAGTCTTCTTTTTGTCGGAATATTAAAAATCAAAGATGTAATATTCAAAATATAGGCGTGCAAGATCAAATTTAACAAATATTTTTATTTTTAATTAGCTTTACACCCCCTCAAAAAGTTGTATGCACCCTTCTTTTGAGAAACACTGATCTAGGTTCGATACAAACAACCACTTCTGTACAAGAAACTGCCTTTCTTGATTAGCCAGGGTTAATCAGTCATATCTGTTACAAAACTTTTGGATAAGATTTAGATATGTAATCTTATTGATACTTGAAATACAATTATTTATCTATGTTTCAGTTATCCAGGTTTGACATCAGTGAAAATCCAATGGATGAAAAAGGCTTCAATGCTCTTGGTTCCGCTTTAACAACAAATATAAAAGTTCTTGAACTTGTCATGCAAAATTGCCGACTGAATAAAGAAAAACTAGATGCTCTTGGAAGTCACTCAGGATTACAGGTTTCGTTTTTTATTGCTGTTTGATATATTATTGAATAATCTGCACAAAGTATATTTCAAAGTGGTTTGGTATTCAGCATTTCTGCTATTGCTTGTTACGATTCAGGAAAGATATCTAGATCATAGAAAAATACTCTAGGAAATATACTAATGTCATTGTTTTATACAAATTTGAAAAATTTACATTAAACAAACATAAACCTATCTGAGGTTTAATATAAATCAGTCTATTCAGTTCTTTTGCTTATTTTGTCGATAGCTTCAAGAGATATAAAATGTATATATTCTGTGTTAGTAGGCACCAGCCCTCAAACATTCAACCTTGCCAAAATACCAGCCTTCGGTGCACTGATGTTCGTTATTATTATGTTTTTAGATATCCGTTATTGATATCAGTCAAAATTCAATGGACGAAGAAGCTTTTGATGCTCTTGGTGACCTTTTGTCAAACTATGAAGTTGACCAACTCATTGCAAAAAATTGCCAGCTAACAAAAGCAAAACTTGATGCTCTTGGAAGTCATTCTGGATTAAAAGTATGACCAAGTTATAATATAATATCATGCCACTGTTGCTCTTTTGTTGAGTTGGCTAGTAAATACACAAAAAACAGCTGGTTTTATGATGTTTGATATTGGTAGATTTGGATAGTGAAGTCTTCTTTTTGCGGGAATATCTAAAATCAAAGATGTAAATATCCAAAATAAGGCGTGCAAGATCAAATTTAACAAATATTTTTATTTTTAATTAGCTTTACACCCCCCTCAAAAAATTTTATGCACCCCACTTTTGAGGACCACTAGTCTAGGGTCGATACAAACAACCACTTTTGTACAAGAAACTGCCTTTCTTGATTAGCCAGGGTTTATCAGTCATATCTGTTACAAAACTCTTGGATAAGATTTAGATATGTAATCTTGTTTTTTAGGGCTGTCCAAGCGAACCAAATATTCGAAATCGAATCGAATTGCAAATTATTCGAATCGTTTTTCGGCTAACTTTCGAATCGCTAATATTAGGTACATAAAGCGGAAAAGGCTTGAAACCACCTCTGCAGGACGTTTTTCGTCAGGCACGCGGCGGCGCTTCAGGCTTGGACCACTCTCGCTCCCGTCATAATTGGTTTCCCGATATTTCTCTCACCTTCATTTTGAGATAAACATGTCATTCCTAATGCCAGTGGCACGTGATAAGCCGTTTCATGCATGGTCATCATAACTTATAAGTTATAATCGGTCATGACGTTTTTGAGAGAGAACAAGGAGAAAAAGGCAATTTAATTATCTTTAGAAAACGATAGTTCTAGAAATAGAACCGATTTGAAGCTAATGAGTTAGTTATCATAGGAACATGGTACAGGCAACTCAAAGCTGAAGCAGGTATTGTGGGATCCTTATGATGGCAATACCTTCTTCCAATGGAATTTATAATTTCTTATGATGGAAATACTGTATTATCCATCTATTTACCAAGATAAAAAAATAATTGCACACTGGCATCATTTTGATGGCCATTGTACCAAATAATATTACCATCAAACTAGCTTTGAATTTGTTAAATGCAATTTTGAATTTGAGCAACAGTTTTATCTATATTAATGAATGTTATCATTTTGTTGGAAATTACACAAAAAAACATAAGAATAATGATAATAGGATTAAAATAGCATCTACAGCCTTTACATGCCCAATTAAAACTTAATCCATTAGAAATGAAAGTGCAATTTTTACTCTTAACCCTCTACAGTTTTCGAAACCCTAATTTTGGAGTCCTCCAATTTTTTTGACCAGTTCATACAAGCGTGTGATCTCCTTTCATAAATCTGAAAACATGGTATTGCAAAATACCAGCAGTAAGTCAGAGGTAACTGCACATACCTTACCACACCATTGCAGGGCAGTCGTTTATTGTATAATAGAGACAGATTTAGGATTGCGCAATAATATTCGATTATTCGGTTCGATTCGGCGAAAATTCGATTCGAATCGAAAAATTATTCGATTTTGGACAGCCCTACTTATTGATACTCAAAATCCATTTATTTTTCTGTGTTTCAGTTATCCAGGTTTGACATCAGTGAAAACCCAATGGATGAAAAAAGCTTCAATGCTCTTGGTTCCGCTTTAACAACAAATATAAAAGTTCTTGAACTTGTCATGCAAAATTGCCGACTGAATAAAGAAAAACTAGATGCTCTTGGAAGTCACTCAGGATTACAGGTTTCGTGTTTTATTGCTGTTTGATATATTATTGTCTGCATAATCTGCAAAGTAAAAATTGCACTTCATTTCTAATGGATTAGGTTTTAATTGGGCATGTAAAGGCTGAAGATGCTATTTTAATCCTATTATCATTATTCTTATGTTTTTTTGTGTAATTTCCAACAAAATGATAACATTCATTAATATAGATAAAACTGTTGCTCTAATTCAAAATTGCATTTTACAAATTTAACATGCTCAATTAAAACTTAACTCATTAGAAATGAAAGTGCAATTTTTACTCTTAACACTCTACAGTTTTCGAAACCCTAATTTTGGAGTCCTCCAATTTTTTTGACCAGTCCATACAAGCGTGTGATCTCCTTTCATAAATCTGAAAACATGTTGCAAAATACTAGCAGTAAGTCAGAGGTAACTGCACATACCTTACCACACCATTGCAGGGCAGTCGTTTATTGTATAATCGAGACAGATTTAGGATTGTGCAATAATATTCGATTATTCAGTTCGATTCGGCGAAAATTCGATTCGAATCAAAAAATTATTCGATTTTGGACAGCCCTGCTTATTGATACTCAAAATCCATTTATTTTTCTGTGTTTCAGTTATCCAGGTTTGACATCAGTGGAAACCCAATGGATGAAAAAAGCTTCAATGCTCTTGGTTCCGCTTTAACAACAAATATAAAAGTTCATGAACTTGTCATGCAAAATTGCCGACTGAATAAAAAAAAACTAGATGCTCTTGGAAGTCACTCAGGATTACAGGTTTCGTGTTTTATTGCTGTTTGATATATTATTGTCTGCATAATCTGCAAAGTATATTTGAATTGTTTTGCTATTCAGCATTTCTGCTAATGCCTGTTACGATTCAGGGTAGATATCTAGATCAGGGATTCCCAAACTAGGTGCCGCGGTCCTAGAAGGGGCCGCAAAACAAATTTTAGGAGCCGCAAAGAGAACACCAATTTTACATATATATATGTCGTCGGTGGCCAGACATCGCAATTCATCATTTAAGCCTGCATAAACATACATTGAGCCAAGGCTGGACTTGCCATGCAGCAAAAAGCATTCGCCCCCATTACACTGAATAATTAAGTAACGTTAACCTGAATAATTATGTGCTTGCTTTTGTTATTGAGTGGGCCTAATAAAAGTTGAGATGTAGCTGGGCCAATAAAACATCAAAAATGCATATTTCAAACTGTTTAGCATTATTAACGTGGACAAGGCCGCGAGAAATTTTAATATAATAAGGAGCGGCGAGCTCAAAAGATGATGTAAATCATAGAAATATACTCTAGGAAATATACTAATGTCATTGTTTTTTACAAATTTGAAAAATATACACTAAACAAACATATACATATCTGAGGTTTAATATAGATCAGTCTATTTAATTCTTTTGCTTATTTTGTCGATAGTATGAAGAAGTATAAAATGCATATATATCTGACGACTTGGTGATATTGCAAGTTAGTACTTGTCTAAATTCAAAGCCAACCAATATAGGTTGTAACAATTTTCTTAAACTAGATGGTTTCAAGTTCTGAGCTCACTACCAAGTGGTTGTCTGCAAAGTTGTTCACCGCCCTCAATTTTTTTTGTAATTTCCCAATATTAGATTTCAAAGTTGGATGTCAATCATAATTTTTATAAATGAAGAAGCTTTCAGTGCCCTTGGTTCTCTTTCAAGTAGTGTTGGAGTTGATGAGCTCATCATGCGGAATTGCCAATTAACAAAAACCAAACTTGATGCTTTTGGGAGCCATTTGGCGAACCATGGTGTCTAGTCGGTCAGCAATCTATGTCGGTCATGGGCATATTAGTTTTGTTTTTGGGAAAAATCTTCAAACGATTTTCCGCGCTTTGTCAGGTATTGTAATGACCATGAAATAGAATCGGAACTTTGTTTATCTTCTGTGCGAGCGAGCGCCTCATATTGTTGTGACACCTTTGCACAGTCGCCAGATTGGTATTGCCTCTATTCCCTTGCAAGGCCTCTTCTAATTGACACATTCGTTTTCATTTTAATTATGAAAATCTGTAATTGTTATGATGCCCAATAAATTGTTGCAAGTCCGAATTATTAGGAAATAATAATAACATATTATAAATAAAATGATACAAATAACCACTTTTAAGCAAGAAACTACTTTTCTTGATGAGCCAGAAGCCGGTATCTGTTCCAAAACTTCTGGATAGGATTTAGACATGTAATCTCTTTGATATTTGAAATTCATTTATTTATCTATGTTTCAGTTATCCAGGTTTGATATCAGTGAAAACCCAATGAATGACAAAGGCTTCAATGCTCTTTGTCCCGTTTTAACAACAAATAATAAAGTTCTTGCCCTTATCATGCAAAATTGCCAAGTAAATAAAGAAAAATAAACCACCCTTTTTCAAATTTTTGAAAAACTGAAAAAGTTGCCAATAACGCATGCAATTGCATTTTGCTAAAGTCGTCGATTGTTTTCGTACATCACATATTATTCCGCGATAAACGCTTTTAACGTTGGTGTTTATTCTCTCTAAAACACAAATCATCCTCAAAATCGTGCCATAATAACGATGATAATCACCTAAAATTTGTACACAGAATTGTGAATCTGGTGAGAGTTACAATACGTTTATCGGCAAATTATTTGATTGAAAAGCGACAATATAAATTACTGAAAATAGGAACGTAAACAACAAGTTCTGTTGTAGGAGGCCCGCGACAATCTGAAATGCTTCTCTAGGCGTTGAAAATCACAAAATTATGTTGGTTCGGCGTTGATAATAATATTGTTACTAAAACCGCAAGGTGAAATTGAAGACATTTTAACTAATAAAGCAAGACAATTCAAACAAGCCCGTATCAGTCATGGTTTGATACTTTGCACAAAAGAAAAATCATTATTCGTTGAAAAAGTTGGCCCTTTTAACAAGTGCTGTATTCGAGGTGAATGTTCCGCGTGGATTTCGAGGCGATTAATATGTATTTTTGATTTAGTGCTGAAATTTATATGTAATTTTTATTGTACGAAATTAAATTGTACTTTTCCGGATTTTATATCAGATCTTGAGATTTTTAAAACGTAGATAACGGTGCAAAAAAACGTATCAATACTGAATACAAATGGGCTGTTTATCTCATGCTTTTTATGTCCACAGATCGCGGTGGTGTTTTAAAGTAGTAATGTTTTTATTTTGACGTAAGAAGACGCAACCTCAAGTTACATTAGACACAATTCAATTAATATATAGGGATATTTTGGATTCTTGTAGTTGTCATGGATTGAATATTTTTCATGACAGAAAAATCAT